TACACCGTGGGATTAGGACTACAATTCAATGCTCTGCAGCAAGCAAAAAAAGCTGGCAGGAGGGGGAGAAGCCAGGGCTGCTAAAGCTGCATAAAGCCAATTTTTCCTTCACACTTTCTATCGTGTTTCTTGAGGGGACTCTGTGGATTCACTCCTGAGCTCCCGCTCAGTGCAATACAGGTTCCTCAGGCCTTTCCAAATTACATTCACCTCTAAATACAGAACATTTTTGCAAAACTGAAACAAGGTAAGTCTCTTGTTCTGGAAAAATTCACTTGGTAGGAATGCTTCCCTCCAAATGACCTCCCCCCTCCTGATTCCTCCATCCCCATTCAATTCCTAAAAGGGCTACACAGTGATACTGAAATATGTTAATCTGATAGCAGCTAAAACAATACATTTTCAATTAGAGTTTTAGTTGGCTTTGTTTTGTTTTGTTTTTAGCCAAAATTGACCTCTTAGCTGCCTGACAAAGCTTGCTGGATACACAGACAACCCCCACGCCTCACACACGGCACCAGCGTCTCCTTGGGGTTCCCTTTGCTTACGTGAGCAATTTTATTTGTCCCAAAATTATTCATCCACGTAATTACCATGCAATTATTTAACAACAAGAACTGACAATTTTTAGCACTTTTATTCTCATTTTTAATTGATAAGTTCCCTTAAAAGGTGAATCTAGTGTCTCCACAATGGCAGTCAGGATCTTATTTTTTGGAAATACTGAACTGATTAATCGATTTGTTTGATCAGTAGGAGACATACTGTAATGACAAACACACACAGTCATTTCAATAATCCCAAATCAAACTGTTACTGAACTTTAATATTGTAGATACTGGTGTTTAAAGTTTGGAACTGTCACACATTAATAAATTCAATAGGGATAACTTATCTAAAATCTACACATTACATTTAAGAGTATCTGTTATGAGAAACACGCTGATTTAAGTCAGGTGTCAGAATACTTGTCAGCTTGAGGCCATTTTGAATACTTCAAGTTGTCTATTAAGGATATACTTCCCTGCAGGAATCTACTTACCTCACCTGGATTTTACAGAATGGTCTGCATTTATTCTAATAGCGGCACTTCAACTCTTCTGAATATTCTTTCAAATACATTGATTAACGTAGTCTTTTTCAAGTATCTTGCAAAATGGCCACAGTGACATCTGGTCTGAGTTGTGCAAAGTGTCTCACCAGGAAAATTAAATTCTTTTCCCACGTTGCCCAACGGGAAGATGCTCATGTTCCTTCCAGGAGCAGCCAGCTCAATATGGGAGGAAGATGCATGCAATGTGAAAGAGTGCTGCCTTGAAAAAAAAATGCACGTTCATCTTCTCTTTAAATGGAGGATTTGAATATTTTTTCCTGAATTCAATGTTCTCTCAAACCAATAACTTTCTTGGCCTCTGATGGCTATTTGTAGTGTTCTGCTGAAGATTTTACATGCAAGCAGTTCCTATATATCATTCCCTCAATTGCACTCTTTGAATTTCACTTTCATATTGAGTTTCATAGGTGATTTACTTTCTCTTTGACTACTACCTCCTGAGAAATAATTCCATGAATGAAAATAAGGGGTAGATATCACTCTTAGGTGTGGATCCAGTGGGAACCCACATAAAATGTTGTGAAAGTCCACAGCACGTGATGCTCACAACAATCTTAGAAAACACTTTCATTAATGACGTACAAGAGGGACAGGGCAATGTTGAAAGATGGGAGGAACTGCAAGCTACAATGAAAATGCAAAAATATAGAGCTCCCTTGAGTAGTTAGAAACTCATGCAAGGCAAAAAAATATGATGACTTGAAATTATAAATATTATGAAGAAGGGAATAAAGATTCATTGTCAGCTGTCTCTTCCAAGGGGCATTAAATGATGCTAATAGATTTACTTCACTCCACTCGTGCAGTTCTAATGCAGAACTTCTTGCTGCGAGATATTAAGATATTTACATGTGTTCAAAATCCCAGGAAGCTGTCAAAGTACTCAGTAAGTATCACTAAACAGCTGCCCTGCTCTCATACTCTTCTCTAACATCCACCTCCTGCCAGTGTCAGAGCTGGTAGGGCTGTTCAAAGTTAATAAAATGCTGTATGAAACCCGGAACACTGAAGGGGAAATCCTGAGGATAAAAAAAATCTGTCTAAAAAAACTTGAAGTGACTGAACTAGATAAATAGAAAGAAATAAATATGGAAGCAAGTAGACCAGTGCTAATCTGAGGCTTTTTCTGTAAGGACTCAGAAGTCCAGCTGGACTGGGGTGAACACAGCCGGTGTGCAGCTGTAGGCACGTGGTCCCCTCTCTCCAGGAAGACTGACAGGCAGGATGGGCTTCACAGAAGAATAAACCATATGATTAAGAGACTAGCATGTGATTTATGAAGAATGATTTAAGAAAAGATCTTCACAGCTTGCTTAAGCGATGATGAAAACTAAAAGCGACCAGGAGAAGAAATAGCTTAGATTTATTTAAAGAGTGTGAACATCATAACAAGGGGGAAAGAAAGGCTCATACAAAAGGGGCTAAAGTTGAAAAGGAACATGAGGTGAAATATCAAGAAGCATGACCAGGGTTGGGAATCATCTTGTCACGGCTTGTGACACACAAAAAAGTATGGACAAGGAAACTTAACAGAATACTTGGTAAGGGACAATTGGGTGCTGATCCATTGGGAAGATCAGCAGTGCTCGGGACTTCTGTGTGACCCTGATGCTCACCCTGGCAGGGTGCTCATGCTCTTACACAACAGATGCCACAGAAATTCTGCTGTTCCTCATGATTTCCCCTTTCATGATGAGCAGAAGTGTTACTCACAAGCACTTCCTCCTGGAATACATGTGCCATTAGCAACACTTGATGTTCAGAACAGCCACACCACAAGGTGCTTCTGCTGTCCAAGTCTAACCCGATCTCTAGGGCAGAGGGGTCACAGTAAGGAGCACTCCTAGGTTTAAAAACTCTGCAGTACAGGAAGAGTAGGCAGTTGTTCATGAGCCAGCTGCAGAATGACATGCTGGCAGCAAGTCAGTCATAGCTAAGATATGTTAGCCACTGTTTCACTTCCCAGTCAGATAAAACACTGAGTCTCAGCACTAGAAGGGTGCTCCAGATGCTGAAGCAGTACCTGCAGTGTCCAGCTCTGCACTGACTGCCATAACACCTCCTTCCACCTCACCCATAGGGAAGGCCCTCAGCTCTGGCCAGAGAAATGGTGCCTTTGCAGTTCAACATATACTGTGCCACTAGATGAACCTCATCTTTGAAAAGGGAAATGGGAAATCAAAGGATCTTCCTTCCAGCCCAGCATCAGATGGTGAGCACAGGCAACACTAAACTCCCAACAGGTCTCTCCCCTCTTGACCTGATGTCCTACAGGGTCACAAGTGGAGAAGTGACCCTCCATCTAGCTCACTCTCTCTACAGGCAAAGCATCAGGGCCTGTTGCTTAGAGCAAAATCCTAATGCGGCAGGTAGGATTTCAGATGATGGGCCGTTATTTCTGAAGACCAGTGGAAATCCTGTCAGCATGCAGGTTATCTACAAGCTGCTATGTCAGCAGGAGTCCTGCCAGCACAACGGGATAAGAAGCACAACTTGCTTTTATAAAAACGTCACTCTTGATTGAGCACAAGAATGAGGGCAGTGAGGGGGGCTCAGGACTGAGGGAAAAAGTGCAGCGCTTTTGTTTGGGAGGATCTCCCTGTCCCTGCACAGGGTCATGCCTCAGCAGCTTCCAGCATCAGCGTTATCTTCCTAAGTGCTCTCTGAGCTACCTTCCAAACCCATGAGGGAGCCATCTCCTGGGCTGTCTCTTTAGCAAAGAAAGAGCACAGGCTGAAGGAACAGATCGGCGGGTGCTGGGCATGCATGAGGGACCGGGCAGAAGGAAGAACCAGGGAAACCAGACCCTCCCAACACCACATAGCACTCACACCAATGCCTCTTGTAGAAACTGCTATGCACCAGCCACAGCGGCAGCCACTGCCACTGTGCGGGACCAGGCCACTTTAACCCCCAGCCAGCGAAGAAACATCACCTGCGCCAGCAAAAATGGGCTCAAGGCTTGGCCATTACAGCCCTGTGCCTTGTGCAACCTGCTGGGAGTGGGGCATGGGGAGGAGGGAGGCAGCAGAAGCTGCTGGAAGCCACCCTTGCGAATGTCATGTTTGGTCTGTCCAAGCACATTGTGCCTCCCACACCGTACACAGCAGCTCTAAGTCTTCTCCATCTTTTTGGGCTGTAATGTTTGCTTCCATGCTGGCTGCCATGCACGCCAAAGGCTGGTGCTGGCACTGCCCTGTGGCTCAGGCTGCTCCTGACCGCCCGAGGATTCACCACACAGAGGTGATACTCCACATAGCCTCCTTCTACCTCCTCACAGCGGCACGACAGGACTGGCATGCAATTAAACCCCAAACATCAAAAATCATTAACAAAAAATTATCCCCAGACTCTTTCAGGGAAGCTTCACTTGAGGAGGCAAACGCAGTGAAAGTGCAGAGACGGTGCAAACACCTCACTGGGACTCACTCATCATTCCCACACTGTGGTCCTAGCTGCCTGCGCCATCCCTGCGCATCCTCCTGCGCCCGAAGGAGCAGAGATGAGCTCTTTCCCTCCCACGCTGCCCACCCAGACCCCGTCTCCGAGAGGCTCTCTTCTTGCCTGTACCACCGAGACCTCGAAATGCTATGGTCTTTCCTTGCACACCAGTTCCTCTTCAATGATTTAGGATTCCCTCTGTTCTACACACCCCGAATCATCAGTACAACACGCCACATACAGCACATGCTGATATACAAACACCAAACACAAATCTGCCAAGAACAGCTGATCTGGCTACCTGCTCATCAAGAGCAGGGGAGCGGACAGCCCGGGGAGGTTTATTCAGAGCAATGTCAGCCTTCCCATGCTGCTACCTTTTCTTCAGGGAGGGATGAACACGGCTGAGGGGGGCAGGATAAGGGGGTCCGAGAGATATGATTACCTGTATCCTGTCTTCTGGCAACTCTGTTTTCATGGCCAACATCTCTCTAGCATATACGTCAGGATAGTGGGCCTCATTGAAGGCCTTTTCCAGCTCCTCCAGTTGGTAGGATGTGAAGATTGTCCTGAGGGGAGTAAAACTCTTTGATCAAAAAACATAAGAAGAAGAAGCAAAGATCATGAAGAGTCAGAGAAATGGACACAGAAGCTACAGAAACGTGGGTAACCTGATAACGCATAGCTTTGCTCCCCCATCTCCTGTGTTTCTGCGCACGAAAGGTCAAGTGCCAGGGTGAAAGGAGAACCAGAAAATGCCAGAAGACAGCGCTTTAAACAGTTACAAATCACCTTCCCTTTAGGGACTTCCCTCTGGAGACGCTCCCTCCCCAGCAGCGAGCACACAGCCATGGCAGCTGCTCTTACATCTCAGACCCTGCCGCCTGTTGTGAGGATCCTGCGGGTGTCCCTATCCCTCACCCCCTCTCTGACAGGAGAGCGCACCCACCCCTGGCCTGGCTTAAAACCACTCCCCTCCTCCTCTTGCATCCAGAGGTTTTTTAACCCTTTGGTAGTGACGCTGAGATAAAGCGGCATCCCCTCAGCACCCCATCTGGAGAGGTGCTGAGCCCTTCCCCAGCTGCTGGTCCTTAGCCTCTTCAATCTCCATGAGCAAATAATCCTCCCCTGGAGCCCCGGTCCTCAGCTGAATCCTCCAAAGGTTTTATCCACTCTGCTCCCCACTGCTTTTCACCAGTCCTTCCCTACGAGAGCCAGGGCCAGCTCCCTTCCTCTGCCTTTACCCTGCTTGCTTCCACTCCGATATCCCATTAGCTGCTCCCTGCCAGTTTGCATTACCCCATTATCCTCTGGAAATCCTCCTGGACCGCCCTGGGCGGGCAGCAGCCCAACCTGCCTCTGCGCAGCCAGTTCTCAGCTCGGGACAACCAGATTGAAAAATCAGTAGCTGGAAAGCCGAGACGGATGAAAGACCTTCACCAGGGGATGGATGAGAGGTCTTGGACCACTTCCACTCCCCCGAGGGTTAAAACTCCCACCCTCCAACCCCCCTCCGGTACACAAAACACAATTTTCGATAAAAACTAACACTCCAATGGCAAAAAAACCCAAACCAACCAAACAAAAAACCAACGAATTGCAGCCTTTGTTCAAAGTAAATGTATAAATATATTATCAATCTAAGAAACATGTAGCTCCCAGAAGGGGGAAGGAAAGAGGAAAAAAAAAGTCTTTTTCAAAAATACATCCAAATTTCAGAAAAGCCCTACAATTCCAGAGAGCATAAACAGAAAAATCTCAGAAATATCCTCTGCTATTCAGAATGAAAAGGATTCCACCAGATCGATAACATTACTAACAAAAGCAGCATGCAAATGCAAGGGACCTGCCTGCAATCAGATCCTTCTTTAAATTCACTCCTAAATCCATTCTCTTTTCAAACAGTTTTCCTTCAGCTCCGACAAATCTGTGAACTCTAGGGACAGCAGAGGCACATTAACGCGTGTATTTTCTCTCTCTGGGACCACAGGAAAAATTATTCCAATTTTGATCCAGTTTAGATTTCAAGCATTCCGCTCCACCCTCCTCTGACCAGAGCGCCGAAGCCCAGCAAGGCTCACCGGCGGGAGGGTTTTGCCTGACATTCAGCTGAAGTTTTCCCCTTTTAGCTCTCCTGCCTGGGTAGCCCCTGTCTCTTTTGCAATACACAACCCACTCTCCCTTTTGGTATTTCTATCCTGCAGATATCTGCAAACTATTGGCCTGTCATCTCCCAGCCCGTTCCTGGTACAACTAGAGGTCTTAACCATTTAGTACAGAATATACAACTACAGCTAAATGCTGCAGGTTTGTTGCTGTTTAGAACTGAAAATAAAACAAATCCGAATTTCGTTTCCTCTCTCCCACCCAGACCCTGACCTGTACACCAGCCCCTACTGTGTTTTCACCCAGCCCTGTCCAGTCCACAAAGAAAACGAACCCGTATTTACTCCAGAGCACCCGAACTGGGAGCATCTGCCTGGGGAGGGACCGTGGGTTTGGGATGAGCCCTCCAGAGCAAGCCTCCTGTTGCACGAATAGCAGGACGTCTCCTGGGCTAGTCCGTCTCCTTCCACCCCGCACCCTGCTAAGCTTTCACTGGGGCATCTTTTAATCCACCCTTCCTGCATCGTGGCAGGATTGATTTAATTATTCCTAAATCACCCTCGGTGGATGGTGTCTGGCCTTCCTTTGTCCTGACTCTCCGGCCACAGCAATGCCAGAACCCAGCACGGGATTTTTCGTTTCTGTCTATAAGGCGCAGACAATCCAACTCCATTTTAACTGTGGGAGAAGTCAGGCAAAGTCTATTCCCCTGACCATTCCCGAGGGGAAACCAAACCCCCTCCGGAGCTCCCAAAGTGGATCTTCGTTTCCTTAGGCAATTCTCCAGCCTTCTTCAGCTTCTCTGCAGGCTGTGTCTGATTCCCAACTATTTAATCTATTGGCAAAGCATTTATTTATAAGTATATAAAATATTTAAATCATTGATAGAAATTGTCCCTTGCTGATAGCCAATATTAAGATTGCTATATGCAGAGCAGGGAACGGGTTTGATTATTTAACTGCTTCAGTTTCGGACAGGTTGATGATTGTTTTCCCCCTGAACACCGGTGATCCGCATCCCGCCCAGATGCTTAGGGGCTGCTCGGGTTTGCGGCTCGGGATACCTAGATCCGCAGCCAGAAAAAATAAATAAAATGACACCCGTGGCCAATCCCCCCGCTCCCTATAG